TCACAACTCGTTTATTCAATCACTATTTACACTATGTACATACTTAACCTAGAAGACGGACACACTGTTATTTACACGGACTTATTACTAACGCGCGGACGGACGAACCTTCGGTCGCGAAGCCGCGGGCGGCGGCGCGGTGCGCTGCAGGAGAGCCGAATGCCGGGTACCCCCAGGCAGCGGAGGGGTCAAACCCACCTCCGTCGGTCGTAGAAAAGGAAACCGAACGCCGGGCACTCTCAGGCAGCGAAGGGGTTAAACCCACCTCCGTCGGTCGTAGAAAAGGAAACCGAACGCCGGGCACTCCCAGGCAGCGAAGGGGTTAAACCCACCTCCGTCGGTCGAAGCAGAAGGAAACCGAACGCCGGGCACTCCCAGGCAGCGAAGGGGTTAAACCCGCCTTCGTCGGTCGTAGCAGAAAGGAACGTCGAACGCCGGGAACTCCCAGGCAGCGAAGAGGGTACTCCCGTCTCCGTCGACTGTCGTAGGATCTGGTCCAGGAAGCCTCGGGGACGCCCAGAGGCCTGGTGCTAGGATTAGGATCTGGGACAGGACTGGTGCCGGCTCTTCGGACGAGCCGGCTTATATACCGGTGCTGTTCCTCCCACGCGTTTCCTCGCGTGTGGCGGGCATCCCTCCGGAGGGGATGGATCACGCGCCCGGCGGATGGTCGGCTCGGCGCGTCGGACGGATGTCAGGCCCGGCGCAATTAGTGGCGACCCCTAATGGGTCGTCACAATGTTTTGATATTTTCATCATGATGGTAAACATTTTTAATTTGAAGACTAATTTAACAACTAAGGACACTAGGGGATTATTGAATTTTTTCTTTTTGACAAAAACAGTCCATTCCTGACCAACAAATTCGTCGCTTGATAACGACTGACTTTGGATCTAAAAGTTTTTTGACTTAATAATTTTAAAATCTTGACGATATTATTACATCTATATACTGAGTAATGGACATCGTTGTGAGGCTAGTCATTGCAATATGGGATCGGCTGTCGATATCACGTTTGACTAATTTCTATTGTAAAAAAACATTTTCTTTGTAAGCGCCGCGATTTTGTCAACTTAATATAAACGCCTGTCAATACCGCTGTACAAATTATTTAGAGAAACCTTATATGTTTCTATTATGGCGATTTAATTAGCGTATATTATATTTTATACCTTTATATTAATCTGAGGAAGACTGAGATTACAGTCGAAACGTTATTTTATTTTATATTTTTATTCGGAATTTCAATGTCTACTTTTATCATTATTTTTATTTTATCTTACTTTTATGTTAAAAGGTATTTAGGTTTTTACATAATTTGATATTATATATTTATTTGTAATTTTTAATGTCAAGTTTTATCATTATTTTTATGTGTCAATAAATACCTAAGTTCGTAATAAATATTGAATGTTTTTACTTGTTTGTTACATTGGCCCAGTTCTTTAATTATTTTTAGTTGTTATAATTACGAGCCAATAAAAAAGTTCTGTATATTTTTTCTTTTTTGGTATTTAAAAATGATCAATGCTTCGACTTGACTGACAAAGTTTATTAACAAACGTACTACATTTCGACTATTTAGATTGTGGTCCTTATCAAGTACAAATAGCTACATAAATTATAAATTGAACAAATTATAAATTGATCAGAAAATACACAGTATTGAACTTAGTCCGCATTACACATATTTCATTACGCAATATTTACATAAATCAAAAGTACAGTAATAAAACTTATTTGAAAGATGTCAAAACAGAAAATTACAGAATAAATATATAATAATTATTTCCCATTTTCGTCCTGAATTTGTCTCAGCCGTTACCGCTCCCAATAAATAAATAAATAAATAAATAAATAAGACATGTTACATAGCACGTCTATACACGTGCTATGTAACATGTCTTATTTATTTATTATTAAAAGTATTAGTATTAAAAGTCAGATAAGACGTCAGAACTAAGACGTCCCAAGCAACGAAAAACAAGAGAAACACTATACAAAACAAATTATAAACCAATCATAAACGAATTAATTACACTATTAGGTTTTTGGCTTTGAAAATTAATTTGATTAAAGATTCTATACACAGAATGTTTCCTTCTGATTTTTAGTAAGAGATATAAGTTTAAGTTGAGTGAGATTATTTTGCATACAAATAAAAAACTATTTTAATCTTTCAGATCTTTGTTTTTTTTAATCACACTTGAATATAATGAAAAACTTTTGCAGAAAGTGGTATACAGAGTTATTCCGGAATCTTTTACTATCTCTTAGTTTTAAATTATTTATAGCAACGAGGATTACCGAAATTGCTTAATAATGCTAATTTTTACAGGTATTTAGAGGATATGTTCATAAATTGTTTATAAAATTTTTTGTACATGAAGATGATGTAAAGCACTTTATATACAAGTACCTTTGATTAAATGTACATAGTTATATACGCTGCGGTAACGCAGTAGCGTTTCACGCAAACAGGAAGACATTTTGTTACGCAAATTGGTCTACGAATTCATTTGCAGAATTGTTTCGCAAATGGCAAATTCAATCAACCTACTTACCGTCCTCTCTCTCCGCGCATTCCGATTTATTATTCATAAATTCACCAACTTGATAAACACATATTTTCTAAATTTATGCACATATTATCCTTACGCTTTGTCTCTCAACTATTCATATGATTATTTGCATCAAGAAGGCAAATTGCTATTTCGTTAATCTGTTATACAATCCAAACTAGCTTTAATAAACTTCGTTAAATTTGCATTAAGATTTTTAGATTGAAAATATGTGATAAGCAAAATATGCACAAACTATTTCAACTCGTAACATAAACTCCAACGATCGAAATTGATACAAGAATGTCACATAAGAATAAAAAATTCTAAAAAAGCAAAAAATTTCGGAATTTTTTTTAAATATTGCATTTTTTCAAAATTTACATTTTTAATTGAAAAAATGTATATTCTTTAATATTCATCAATAATTTTAGTAAGGTTTATATAAAAGCTCGTTTCCTCAAGACTATCTTGGTATCGACGATGGAGAGTTCTATGTGAAAATGATGAAACAACCTATACATAAATACAACGAAAAGTGACTCGAATCAATTATCTATTATTAGAGATATCCATTATTACAGAGAAATTTACATTTTTAATTAAAAAAATGTATATTCTTTAATATTCATCAATAATTTTTGTAAGGTTTATATAAAAGCTTGTTTCCTCAAAACTATCTTGGTATCGACGATGGAGAGTTCTATGTGAAAATGATGAAACAACCTATACATAAATACAACGAAAAGTACCTGACTCGAATCAATTATCCATTATTAGAGATAGTGTTAGCTGAACTAATCCCTACGATCGACACAGAAGCACGAATGTTTGTCATTTGAGCTAGATAGTAAGAGAAACGTAACACACACACTCTCTCTCTCTCTCTCTCCCTCTCTCTGAACACAGTAGCATTGATCGAGAGCCACGTCCTCTATGACACTTTCTGTACAAAGGAGAGAGCACCGACACGACGCCAAGGTAAACTAGGTCTTCATGGTAGGAGAAGCAGCGATCCTCTTCATCTCCGATCACCACAAACCGCCACCCTCCTCGTTGCGCTCTTTCCGATCGTACGTTCGCAAGCTTTGTGGTCTTTTTATTTGCCTCCAGTCTCATTGCTCTGTTACGTACCACGGAATTCTACCGATGATCCAACACAAACCGCGGCTCGAACATTTACGTAATTAGCACGTCGAAAATTTATTTTCAATTTTTATTCAACTAGATACGGACTTCAAATGATTTACACAGAGAGAGAGAGAGAGAGAGAGAGAGAGAGAGAGAGAGAAAGAAAACGCGTGATATAAAAACTTTGAAATGAATTTGAAAAAATTTTAACAACAGAATATATACCAATCTCATATAATTATACTCCTGTGAATGCATCCCATTCAGAAAACTTATAGAGATTGTTCGAAATAAAGTACGAGTGAGAAAATTGGAGAAGAAAAGAATTTTTTTTTACGTCCCGGCTCTGCAAAAAATTTCCACCACAACACTGGAACTTTATGCCAGTTTTACTAATTTCGCAGACTTAAAGTTTTTTTTATGGCTTGGCTAGTTTTTAATAAAATATCATAAAAATATGTGAAAGTTAGTCACACAAACAGTGTGGTACTTGGATGAATTATTGAAATAACTTTTATCTTCTGTTACTCGCCGTAAAGAGAAACAATAAACGTAAGCGCGCTAATAAAAAAAGATGGAGATATGCATAGCGCAATAGCGATGCACTGTTATAAATTCGGAGGAAAATACTGCGTGAAAAATGTCCATGGATAAATTATAATTATCGCGATATCTTATCACAATTGTTTCAGCGAAAGCTGAAAAATTGAAGTTATAATTTTGTACCACGTATCGGATTTTTGCATTATAGAACTGCAGAAAATCCTATTAATTAAATGAATGTGCGTGTAATAGTCAATAGCTTTTTGTATGCATATTTTAATCGCGTATATGCCAAGCGCGCGTGTGACAGATAAATGTAAATTCCTCCTTCCTGAATATGCAATGTTTCGAAAGCTTGCCCGCGCCAACGATCGTTATTTTCTACTGTACTTTTTCGAAATGATTGACGAGCTACAGGGGTCGAGATTCTGGAAAATAATTAGCTATACTAATTGACTCCATTATTTATGTGGAAATAGTCTTGCTATTCCCCCGGACGTAAAAATTCGAATTACAATGGCCTAAAAAGCGAGAATCGCATAAACACACGTAGACGCATTTGCACGTAGTGCTGGTTGCTAAGGTTGTATCCGACCACTGGAATAATTGAAATGGATCGCTGTGGAAATGCCTCTTCTATATCCTTTTGTTTCGCCTAAAAACCCAGAGCACATGAATCTGGAAGTACTTATGTGACCGAACGTTGTGAGAGAATTAGCCCTCCGCCCGTCTTACCGGCCAACAGACGTCCCGCTTTCACCTTAATGGTCGCCACTTACTTTAACCTGGATAAGTAAGAAGGTTGATGTAGCCGAATTGTCTCTTCCGTCACAGGTACGCTCGTTGATGCCGCTGGGCTAGAGTCGTCCTTGATGTATGCCGCGCCGTCCTTTGAAGATGGCCGCCGCTGCGACGCAAGTCAGAATTGCGTCATGCAAGTGCGAACAATGCAATTTCGCCGGAATTCGACTAATTTATGTTTCTCCTTTGTTTTCAGGATACCGCCGGACTTCTTCTTCGCCCTAGGTACGGATTTACACCCGATGGAGAATCGACGTGGGAAACGGATACGTAGGTAAGTAACAGATCACTGGTTTTATAGGTTTCACTACGAAGTTTATTCGAGAGTGTCCTCAGCTTGAACTCTGTACACAGATTTACGATTTACACTCGTTTATTATCCGCACGACGGTTTATCGTACCGTTTACAAATACTCGCGAAATTATCCGCTTGCAGCACATCTCATGCCGCCTATGATTTTGCGCATTTATTACGTGGTACCGGATCGGATTCGTGAATTTGTCGCGGACTAGATTCACCGAGTCTAGCAGTTTCGCGCGACTACACGGATCGACCGAATGTTTTACGAGACAACGATTTGTCTCGGACGAATCGCGATCGACAAGTACTAGAACTGTACAAACCCGACGAATCGCGCTCGACAAGTACCAGAACTGTGCAAACCCGACTGTCTCGAGCGTTGGTTGCTCGCGGCTTTTATAGTCGGCCGTACGCTTCACGCTCGCCCTTCCCTTGGCCCGCCGGCCAATCGTGGAGCGTCGCCCCACCACTGGGCTCAGCGCGAATCGCTGCGCGGTAGTGTAATACAGGTTTGGCGAGAGTTCCTATTCTTGATTTTACGGATGTAAGGTGCACTCGACAAGAGTTCCTTTATCCTAATATTTTAGGTAAAATCGAATTATCGTGCCCGGATGTTCGGGATTTGGACTGTTGTCGTATAAACCCTTTTAATAATTATTAAACAAATAAAATAATATAAAATCAACCTTGTTGGTGCAGAATAAATAACAAAATAAATTACTTTACCATTTTTTACCACAAGTATCAATATGAACAAACAAATGTCTCGGATGACTAATACATAAAATAAAATGAAATGAATGGAATCGAGCTACTTAATTAAAATAAATAAACATTCGCCTACTTGTCCCAGTAAAGTCATTAGCGGTTGTGCTCAGCCGTGTGTAAAATGATTTCGATTAATTTTGTCATCCGGGAGGTTCGTCAATTCATTTGCGAGAATCAGCATGTCAGCTATATTCTATCATATATCTAATCTAATTCTATCATCGTGTTTAATATCTAATTATATATTTTTTTGTGATCGGCTCAGCAAATATCCGACGTAGGTCGGGTCCTTGGAGTTGCTACCTGTCTCCTCATCCTCAATCCTGGGCTTACGTCCATGATTGACTTGGGAGGTTATTTGACTCTCTAAGTAATTATGTTTGAGGTGAGAATTAAGTTCCTATTGAATTTAGGGTTCCATATTGTTGTGAACTCCACTTCGGCCTCTGTTCGTTCGGGTATTCGCTGAGACGATTTGGAGATCAGTTTTTTAATTCTTTTTAATCCTTTTTATGTTATATTTGATTCTATCTTATAAATAAACGTCCAAGTCATGATTTGACTTTTTGTAAATAAATAATAAGAAAAGATAAAAGATTGCTTTGGGAAGTTCCTTGCCTCGGATTCGCACTTGTGTTTGCCCCGTGACTGAATTGGGCCAACGTCCGAAGTTCTAACGTCACTTATCGCATCCTGCGTATATCCACGGTAATTTCTCAACCACCTCATTTATTTCGTCATTGTCGCTTTCGTCATCGACAATCCGATATTCTGTTTCCTGCAACTTATCATTTAATAGATCATCAGATGACGCCGGAAGACGAATTTTCGAGTAAGGAGGATTATTTTCTTTCAACCATTGTAAAGCCTTATACACTTTATTAATATCTACCAAATTTTCCCAAACCACTTTAGAATTCTTGGGTATACTTCGAACGAGAATGTGCAACTCGTGATTCAAATTTATAGGATCTTCCGGAGGACATACCTTATCCAATGTTTCTTGTAAAGGTAGAGGCAAATGAAATGTTCTGCCTTTTACTTTGCGGATCATTTGTCTATGCAGTATATGTTTGTTCGAAACATTGCCCATCAATTGCACTACTTGAAAGCTGCTAATTCTCTTGATTAACATTTTTTCGTAATCATTGAAATCTGACAAAACATCTGGTAATGGTTTTACCGCAAGATTATTCAAAATGCAAGTAGAAAGCAACACGCCTTTTTGAAATTTACCCAAACAAAGCTTACAAATTCAGTATTATTACTGTAGGTTTGTTCGCGTCACATGCTCCAATGTACACCAGAGAGCACTTGGATCACAGATAAGATGGCGGTTGGATCAGATGGGTTTATGTGCACCAACGCTCAGTGACACGAACGGATTTGAGCACTCCCTTCCCTTTCAATCGCACATCGTACATCATTGACCGATTAGGTTAGGTTTTGACAGCATGGATCGCCTAGGTTTTTTTGACGGTTTTCGCATTATAATAATAAATAATATTAATGATGACGTTTTTGCAGAAAATCCTGTACCTTTGGCAGGAATTGGTGAATTGTTAGAAGACAATGGGAACGACGATGAAATAGAAAGTGAGTATTAATGATAAAGATGTGACGTTTCTAATTTTGGTGTAATCTCTAAAAATCTTGTAATTTTAAATTCATCTTTCCTTAAGTAGTTTGTGCATTTTTATTGAATTTTATATAATTTGTATTTGCAGATATTGCCATTAACGTAATCGTTGAAATTGCAGAAGGTTTCGTTCAAAGAATACATAGGACATGCATAACCAATTACATTGAAAATACAGTGCCTATGTATACAGATAGAGAATTTGTTATGCATTTTCGTTTGAAAAGAACGCTTTTTATGAGTATAGTAGAGAAATTTAATCATTGGCCATATTTTAGAAATTTAGGAGGTAAGTATTGATTTTTTAAAATTAGATATGTATACTAAAAATTTTGGACTTTATTTTGAATAAAGTTTGATTAATATTTATATAGGAAATGGAGGATTCAAGGTAGTTTCAGCTGAAAAACATATTCTCACTTTTTTATGGTTTGCTGGCCATCAAAGTGCTAGTTTCAGAGATGTTGCTGACAGATTCGATCTCTCTCTTAGTACTCTTGAATCTGTCTTACGGAGGGTTACACAGTTTTTGTATGATATGAGGAATGAAGTTATTCGGTATCCTACTGAAGTAGAGAGACAAAGAACGCAAAGATACTATCTTGAAAGTAAAGGTTTTCCAGGAGTAATTGGTAATAATGTGATTTTCTTCGATGATATATTTAATTTATCACAGTTTTGTAATTCAGTATGTGTAATCTAATTATATTAATTCATTTAATGTATTTCTTTTCTGTTATAGGATGTATTGACGGCTCACATATCCGTATTGACAAACCTTCTGAAGACCCAGTGGCTTATATCAATAGAAAGCATTATTTTTCTGTACACATGCAAGGGACCGTTAATGAACAGAAAAAGTTTTTAGATGTATTAATTGGCTATCCTGGTTCAGTGCACGATGCAAGAGTATTTGCAAATTCCAGTTTGGCTGAAGATTTGCCAATATTTTGTGGAAGTATGAACTTATTACATTCATAATTAATTACTGTATTTTAATCAAATATTTTTATATTTCTTATTCAATTCGGTTAAAATCGTAGATATTTTATAGATATGAACTGGTAATTATCTATAGTTTCTGTATTCGAAAGTCCGGAGGAGATTAAAAAAAGAAACATTTTTTAATATTTCTATGTATGTAGATGTGGTTGACTATGCATTGCCATATCTGTAAGATTTATGATTAAAATATATACTTCACTGTAAATGTTTTCATAGGCTACGTTTTGATATTTACTGCCAGTATTATAAATCTGTAGTACATAATATAAAATATAGATTTTCAACTAGCAGAATGAATATCAAAAAGCAGCCTTAGCCTTAGCTGTTAATTTTAAATATACATGCTTTTATTTTAGATGGAAGCATACTTCTTGGAGATGCTGCATATCCATGCCTTCTCCAATTAATTACTCCATATCGGGATAATGGACATTTGACACAGGCCCAAAGAAATTTTAATCGTATACACAGTCAATGCAGAATTTCAGTTGAGCATGGATTTGGAATACTGAAACAACGTTTCAGACAGTTATATTTCCTCAAGTTGAGGAATATGCAATTTATCGTCAAATTCATCTTCGCTTGCTGCGTTCTTCACAATTTGGCTGACTTGGATGATTTGCAACACATGGAAGAACCTGAAGTCGACAACCATGCTGATATAAATGCGCAGGTATTGTTACATAATGTCCCAGCAGCAGATAGAAATGAAGATCCGGATGATGATCGACATGGTCGCGATCTCAGAGACGAATTATGTAGACAACTGTTTCAACGATGATTTGAATAAGAGTATCCAAATAAATTTGTTTAAATATTATGTTCTAATATTAATATTTAAATATTATGTTTATTATTTTTTTAAATATCGATATCGTGTCGTTGTCAACGTCGACATATCACATACTGCATTGTATCAATCTGTGTCGTTCAATTAAAAATATGTATGATATGTATTTAATGTACAAAACTATCAAAGTGCTTTCAAATATTTATGTTTTTTTAGTTATAAAAATTAGGAAACAATGTACAATTATAGTTTCAAGATTATAACGATTATAACCATAACGATTACACAAATATATTTCATTTATTAATAATTATGAATATTACGATTATATATCTTCTATTCAGCTCATTTTAATTAAAAATTATTAAAGTTTGATATTAAATTTTATAAAATAAATTCTTATGTAATATGTAAGACAACAAATAAAACAATTTTGTTAAAAATTTATCCATACATCAGTCTTTTATTGTCATATACGCCTATTTTTCATACAAATAGAGAAATATAACTGCATAATGCAAATATATATTTTATTATGATTTTTTATCGATAATTAACAAAAAAATGTAAATTGAACAAGAAATGACAGTTTTGATTTTCAATCACGTTTTGTACGCTTGACTGCAAGTAAATAATGCTGCTTTATTATGTAAAAAAGAACTCGATAAGTAAATGCAGCTTTTTCCAATTAAAAAAACTTAATAAATAAATGCAGCTTTTTTCAACTAAAAGAACTCAATAAGTAAATGTAGCTTTCCTCTCTTGCAGAGCTTGATACAGCTTTGTCACGCTGTTTATCAAAATAACAGAAAATAAATAAATAAAAAACTAAAATAAACTTTAATAAAATAAAAGTTATTTCAACTTGAAATAAAAATTTTAAATAAAATTAACAAAATTATATAAATTTTAAATACATATAACTTCATTTACGTGAAATGTTCATAAAGTTTGTAACTTTGGTTATAAAGTAAAAAATGAAGTGATTGAAAATGTGTACATTTATTAGCTTTTTTTTACCTTTGAATCCTGTAGAGTTACACATTTTTCCCAATGATGAAAGATCTAATTATTAGATCTAATTAAGATATAATTATTGTAAAAACCAACACACTTGTCTTTTAACAAAATTAAAATTAAACTTAATAAACTGTTCATAAATTTTATAAATTTGTAATAATATCTTATTAACATTTTTTAAAAGACAATGTGTCTATTTTTATAATTACTATATCTGACAGATCTTGTCAGGAAAAATGTGTAACTTCGCAGAATTTATATGTAGAAAAGATTAATAAATGTGTTTTACTACATTTTCTCCTTTAAGTAGGCAAAGGAACAAACTTTATGAATGTCTTATGTATACATATAATTTAGTAAACCTTCAGTCTTATTATATCTTATTAATCTTCTTCGTCTGATAATTCTTGTGTTGAGTATTTTTTACTTTCTATTCTCTCTAGTATCTTAAGTTGCCTTTGTAAGATACTATTTCGTTCTTTTTGCAATTGTAATTGTTCTATTTGTAATTCATTACATTTTTTAAGCTCCGTCAGATATTTTGTACGTGTTTCTTGTTTGGCATCACTTTCTCTTTGTAGCACAGCACAGATGGATTCCTTAAGTGATTGTAGAGTATGCGCCAATTTGCCATCTCGTACTTTTGCTTTTGTATTTATTAAAGATGAGCAACTGCTATCCGTCATGGACGATTTGCTGCTACCTATTACTGATTGAGATTGACTGTTAACTGCAGATGGTGTCGAAGGTGGCGAGTCTAGTGCAATAGAAGATTGTTCTTCATTTACATTCCTATAATAGAAAACATTTTAAATTATATCTAAAAATATATCTAGAAATGAATTAAAAAACATTTTAAGGAGATGATTACTCACTGAGACAAATGTTGACTGACCACTTTTTGCAAAATGTCTTCTTGAGAAACCATTCCATTGCGGCCAGCTACAAAAGATGGCACTCCACTGTGACTTTTTCCAAATAAGTTTATCATTTCACTGTAAAGATACATATGTATTCTATTACTTACTTATTAAATACTAAATATAATACTAACTACTTAATAAAAACAGAATATTGTAAGAATGACAAAATAAAAATATGAAACAAATCGACTGAACTATTAATTATAATGTTTAATTCAAAAATATCATATATATAATTATATACAGAAAACACAAGATAGAACTTACTCTTTAAATGGAAGAGGTTTAGTGCCTTTTCCAGAACTATTTTTTCCCATGGTCTGTTTGATATGTTTATCCCATTTCTTCTTCAACAATTTAAATTTATTTTTCATGTGATTTTTAGTAGCATTCACATAACCTCTTTCTTGGAAGGATTCTGCTATCGCTTGAAACATAGCCTCTTTACTTTGATATTTTCTTTTCTGGAATTTTTTTTCATGCTGTTCATACTCTGTGAAAAACAACATTATGGTTTTATAGTCCCAAATAAAATAGCCATCATTATTGACACCAGAAGTATTCTCTTTTTCATTATCTGAGTCTATAATTGAAGAGTCCAATGAAGACACAATTGTAGGCGTGTGCTGCATAAAGCTTGTTACAGGAATCGTAACAGAAGAACTCTCATGGATTTTAATCTGAGGCTGAATTTCAGAAGGACCTGCTTTATTTAGTAAAGCATTCACAATTGAAGAGTCTAGTGAAGACAAAGTTGTAGGTGTGTACTGCATAGAGCTTGTTACAGGAACTGTAACAGAAGGACTCTCGTGGATTATAGTCTGAGGTTGAATTGTAGAAAAACTTATTTTATTCAGTACAGAATCCAAAGGCGCAGTTGTGGTTAGGAACTGTGTCGAGTTTGTTGTAGCAGTTACAACAGAAGTACACGCAAAAGTCTGGGGAGGCTTAATTAATTTTAATGATACCAGTTTAGGTTTCACAGCTGAAAAATAAAACTATTAATATAGTACAATATTTATGCAATTTAAATTATCTTAGAATAAAATCATTTAATCTATCTCTTAGAATTTATTTTATTAGTTAATTAAGTAAAAATATAAAAAGTATTATGAGTATTTAAGTAATCAGCATCATATATAAAATTCTTACCTGAATACTTAAAAGAAGTTTCCATTGTGAAATATCAAGACAGTGACGGCGTAGCCGAATAATAAAAGCGAGGTTATTGGACTACCCGACTCTTGAGCAGTGGATACTGTTTACAGTACAAGCTTCACACGCATGCGCGATAAAATAGCCCCAAATGCACCACCTTCGAAGGTGAGGCAAATAGAGCGTGCTCCTAATTGCTCCTTAGAGTATGCTCTAACGTGACGCGAACATCTAGTCGCCATCTTGTTTCCGGTGACACGAACGTATTGGAGCGCATTGGAGTGAGAAGGAGCATGTTAGGGCATGCGACGCGAACAAACCTTGTGTTCTGTTACGTTTGCTATCAGATCTTTCCAAAAAAGTCCGTCTATTGTTTTCCTCAGCTTCTCGAGCTTAGAAACGTCTCTTATCAAGCATAATTTTTCGCAAGAGATGCAAGGGATACGTGGCAAATCCAACAATCGCTTTTTCATGACTTTAAATGCTTCGTAATTTTGCGAGAAAATCTTTTCCTCGTCCAAACAAACATTAGTTACATTTTTTGGATATAATCTTGCTTTATTCTTAAAATCATTGGAAATTTCAACTAATTTATCCATATTGATAAATCTCAAAGATGAAAACAGTTGACAAAACTTATTATAATTGTCGATCAATTTGTAAACATTTCTTCGAATATTTCTCACGAAAGGAAAATGAGGTGATAAAGTGTTTATCGTTGCAATGTATGACTTGCAAAGATTCGGATTTGTATAGCATTCCGGAGGATGTCCTAATCTGCTACTCGTACGTGAAACGGAACAATTTTTTAGCTGCGCCATGAATTTAACATTCATTATCTTTTTCAAAGTATCTTCTTCAAACAATTTCAAAAATTTTACAAACTTTTCCATGGAAGTATCATTTATGTGGCATTTGTTCTCATCACAATGCCACATTTTATTTTTTTACCATGGTTATCTATTAACGGCAAAACATTTATTACTCCGTGAGGAGAGGATTGTCTCATTATAAGTGGTTGCTCAAACTTTTTCCTTTGCTCGTAAGCAGTTTCATAAAAGTACGCTTCGGAAGACGAAGTATGTTTGGATAAGCCACAAAGAGCTCAAAGTTGATCGCTTTTTGGATATTTCAAAGTCTTACATTCATTGAATCGCAATAACGCAGCTTCAGCAACGTTTTTCAAATATGAAAACACTTTTCTTGCTGCATTGAGGTACGATTTTTTTGCTATTACACACTACTTAAATATCTGTTCGGCTTCCAATCGAGCACATACTGTTGATTTATTAATTTTTCTCGACATCTGTTGAATATAAAACTCTGAATATTTTGGAAACTTAAAACACTTTTGCCAAGATCGAACAGTATTACATTTTTCCTTCATTCTCTTGAACATTTTCCATCTTTGTACGATAGACTTCTCGCTACGTTTTGCATTGCACCTCTTGTTGTACAATTTTTTGGTTCAATTTTTAAATAAGTCGGGATATTTTTGTCTGAATTTTCGTTGGCGGTCTCTTTCACGGGCAGCATTTTTTAAATAATTTTTCTTTTGACGTACCTTTTATTTTCTACATCTTTTTGGTATTTGCCCCGCTTTCTTTTACGTATTCCCTCAAGATCTTTTTTATATATATCACGCATTTTTTGACGCTTTGTTTCAGGATCCTTATGGTACTGATCACGCACCATCTGACGTTTTGTTTCAGGATCCTTATGGTACTGATCACG